GGTCCCTCTAAATCATAATTCATTTACGAATCGAGGATGTCAGGGGGCTTAAGGCTTTCTGCTTGAATGTAGAAGTTGAGGGTTTTGGCTTGAGGGTTTAGAATATCAATCCATAGAAGGTGTCATGTGGCGAAGAATCCAAACTCTTCGAACAATAGGACCAGCGTGGATCGCTTGATACCTTGCCCACGAAAAACCGTGTTTCAAGGCGAAGTCATTGAATTGACTATAGATACAGTCAAGACGGACATAAACAATATGTAACTAAATAGTTCTCTAAGTAAGGGTCCCTTTTCAGGCCCCAAAGACAGTGCGGCACTCTCATATTCAAAGGATCCTAAACGGGCCACTAATTTTAGAGACCGACCCATGTGTCAAAACGACAGGAGACTGCTGGACGCGGTGCCCCAAACTCATCCGACCTAGGGTTTACGCTCTCGCAACTCGGACTCGCAGGCCCTAAACTCTAAACCCCGGAGTAGGGTAGAACTGGAACCAAAGGTAAGTCTCCACAATCTGCGCGAAGTTCTTCGGCAGTTGCCCGGCACCTGCAGGACAAGCCAGGTTTCCCCTTGTCTGCCCCTCTCATATGGGTGCGTTTCCCTTTTGCAGTGTCTGCGTCCGTTCAAGTTTGGTGACTCATAGCTCTCATGGCAGCTACTGCAGTGATCCTGGACATCTTTGGACTGGTCAGTAGCAGTCATGGATCCTTGATCATAGCTATCGTAGTGATTTCTGTATTCGCTCTGGGGGCTCTTGTGGACCACCAGTTGCCGGCAAATCAACCCCAAAATACGAGTCCTATCGATTGGCTTCAAAGCGGGCTCTCAGCAGTATTGACACCGGAACCCTTTTTTGCATCAAGACCTGTGCAATCGCCTGAATGTCTGTGCCTACAGAAGTTCAGCTCTCATGACTGCGCTTCCAGACCTTGCTCAGGATAACTCGCAGACACCACACCGAAAACACGAAACCCTGAACCCTAACACCCTAAAACCCTAAACCAGGTTTTGGAGTCTTCCGTTTCTTGGGCAACTCAGCTTGAGTCCCAAACGGGGCGTTGACGCTGAAGCAATCAGAGGACCCTCTCAGTCTATCCTTCGAGGCCCGCAACCTGCGGTTGCTAAGACGATGTGTTAAACTACTAGCGAGACAAAGCTAAGGATCTGAACAAACTGAGACAGTTCATGGACGAGACTTTGAGATTCTGGTCGCAAGCAGCCCCCAAGCCCAAGCCCAAAGCGGAAGCCGTCCAAAATTCTAACAACCCTAAACCCCTAAGACACATGGGTAGTTGTCAAAATTATGTCCCTTTTGGGGCACCCTAAATAATAGGCGCCGTATTATAATAAGGACCCAAGAAGGGACCATAATTTTGACAACCACCCACATGAAACCTTCCAAGTGTCAGAGTCCTTTCGAAGAGGCGAGGAGCTCATCCTAAAGCCCGAAAAAAGCTTTCAGGGAGGACCGCGCCTGAGGGTTTAGGGTTTAGGGTTTAGGGGTTTAGGGTTTAGGGTTTCGACTCTCCCACTCGCACGCAGCAGGCAAGGCTCCACACAAGGGTTTAGGGATGCCTGAGCTTTAGGTCTAAACCAAAGTCTGTGTCTGGGAGCACCAGGCCTGGAAGCACACTGCAAGTGAGTGCATCGCTGGTGTCTGTAGAAGCCTGCTCAAACTCTCATGTTGTTCGTGGGGTCTAGGGTTTTAGGGTTCTCGTATCATGTGTCATCAACATTCCAACTGCTCAACATCTGGATGACCTGGAGAAGAGCAAGGAACTCAATTGCTGTTGTTTTTGGGAGTGCTTTCTTGCTTTGCTTGCGGGCAGTAGTGACGGGTGCTTGGGCTGTGACTGCGACAATGGCCCCAGCCTAGAACTGATGCAGAGAACAAGACATGGGGGTTTCCGAAAATGAGGGGTACCTTATTTTGGGGGTCCTTATAACAGGGATCCTACTACTTGGGGTACTATATTAGGGTCCCCTATTTTCGGAGAGCCACATGTTCAACGGATGCTTTCCAACTTAGAAGGACTTCTCGACGAGCTGATTGCTCCAAACCCACGGGCGCGGGTCACAAGCAAACGAAGGTTTCTACAATAGCCGCCTTGAAGGTTTGAAAGATTCCACAGAGCAAAAAGGGTAATGTAGGGGCCTAACTAATTACCTGTACTATTTTGGGGGCTCGTTGTTGTTCTAATTAAGGCCCCTACATTACCGTATGTGCCCTGAAGCTTCGACCTCGGCCGAAGTCAAGCTACTTGTAGTACTCGGCTCAAGTTGCCTTCCCTATGTCTATATGCGTCGTGGGCAGGCCGGGCACTTTTATACGTTTAGTCACCAAAATACACGTATACGCCCACCAGACTTCCTACGAAACTCTACGCTACCAAACTCCTAGAGTGAATCCAGCTACCATGAAAGTTGAGATTACTGCTGCGACATATAAACTGGACCACAGCCGTCGCCTCCAGGCGACGACGACGAGCTTCGCAGAGCTCGACCACCACATGCCGCGGCCGAACAGTATGGATGATGTCGCGCACCTGCGGGCACCAAGTGCTCCCACCATGCATTGGAATTACATAATATATATATATATATATATTATATCTGTATCTGTCTATTTATATATATATATATATTATTTTTTAGTAGCATAGTCACCACGCTACCTTCCCAGATTAGGATCTGTTTTTGTTGGTCGCTCTCTTGGCTGCGATAACATTGACGCCTAAATAATTACCGCCTTTCTTATCTCGGGATCCATATAATACGTTACTTCAAATACAAAATACATCGACACCGGATGCCAAATATCAAGACACCTATAGATTAACCCTTTTAAAACTCTTGTTGGCAACCCTGTAGAGGAACCATTTCAAGAACGCTAGTAAAACTATTCAGCGCTACAGTAGCACATGAGAAGAACGCCTTTGGAGCTGTGTGGAAATCTCGGAACTTGCTCTGCCTGTCTCTGCTTGAGACTGCAAAACAGCAATGCGTTCATTCCGTTGTGTGTTTTATACAAATAAACAAATAAGTAAACATAACTCAGAAAAAATGTGTATATATATATATGCAGCATGTCTCTAGAAGATATAGTATGATGTATACAAAACTTTTAGTTTTAGATATGCATATATACGTACATATATATATATATATATATATTTTGTTATAAGTAAGCCAAGTAAGCGTTAGATAACTATAGATGTACATATGCAGGCGACTCAGACCTAGGCTGTCTTGCTACAAGAATATCCGCCGAACCTCCTTGGCTGACGCTTCGGAGATGTGGGAAGTGCCGACCAAGAACACCTGAAGAAGAGCGAAACTAAGACCGAATGCGTGGGAACCTGAGTGCTGAGGGATTGTGAAGAGGGTTTAGGGTTTAGGGACCACTTGAAGGACAGCCCCATCCTTGCGTCACAGGAGTGGAGACCAAGGCTACCAATTCCCAGATCGCATGCAAAACTGTACAGTGCCCCGTGCTTTGGATACAATAGGTTGAGAGGCTTTGCAGCCAACCGAAGTCTGGCCAGGTCGTGATCACTGAAGCATAGTTGAAAACACAGGAGCTACAGCTACAGTCGTGGCAGCTTCAACTATGCAAGCAACAGGCTGTCATGCTCCACATTGGTCTGCCGCTGCCTCGCCGGTGTTGAGCGGATGCCGCAAATGTTCGACAGTCTGTGACAGTCCTGCGGGTCGCAGCAGGCATTCAGCTTTCCATTACTTGTAGCTGTCGACATGGACTGCTTGTGACTGCGGGGTAATTAAGCGGAGAAGGTCGAGCGTTGGCTGGCAGCTGCTATGGACACCCGAGCCGAAGCTCCAGGTAAAGTCTAGGAATGACTTCTGCAATGGCAGTGTCATCATGAACTCATCTTAGGGGCTCATCTGCGTACACTGCAAGCGTCTCATGGTTTGGTGGGTGCCCGTTGTATCTGGAGCACCTCCCATGTAATGCCTCAGGTGTACAACAAGCTTAAAGCAACCTGTATAAAGTGTAGTCTATTCTCGCAAGGTTTGCCGACAACAACATGAGCTGCGAGTTAATCGTTATACGACCACCACCATCAATTTTCAGTGTTTACAGCAACTGAGTCGGGATAGCCTGCCCCCGTAGAATCCGCATGAAGTCACCCTTCAAGATTACTCTATCCGACCTGCCAGCCTCGTCGGACATTTCATCCTCAGTTCTCTCTGTAACGGCAACATGAAACCAAAAGCTCCATGCCTGTCCCCTCCCGCACCAGGTCCTGGCGACGAAGCAGTAAAATTCCGCGTCTCTCGCCGCAGCGCAAGCCGAGCAGAACGCAGCTGTCTCATGAGTGAACCCCGACAAATCGATGCCGGGTCATCAAGTTTCAGGACTTTATCACTGATTGGCAATCGATGTCTGTGTCGCAGAGGCAAGTGGCTAGTGTCCATCTTGCTACTGACCACAACAAGATGCTAATGCACACCGCAGCACAATCAGCTGAGACCTACGCTCAGCGGGAATGCGATGTTCTGGGAAGCTTAAGCAAAATCGGAGTGGCGGCTAACTTCGGACCTGGTCTGTGAGCTTTGTAGTTAGCGGGAACGAGAGCAACCGCTACGATGGCATGCTGGATCACAGAATCATGCGGCGTCTGAGCTCCTGGTATTGCTACTGGCATTGCGCAAATAGTAGAGAACCCTACCGTGGCCAACAGCATCGCCAACAGAGCACTCTCGAACTCCATCAGGCTTTTGTGCCGACTGCATCCAGACCGGGCATGTCACGATTTTCAACCTTCTCTGAAAAAAAGAGATTGCTACACGACGCTCTGAAGATGTGTGAAGACACAGCAAACCACCAGTCGCATCAAAGGGAAGCTTTTTGCCTCAGGCTCTTCGCCTCGCTACATCCATACGATGATGTCGGGGAGTAGAACATTTAGAAAGGCTGCGCGGTGCAGCTGCACTGTTAAAAATGTACCTTGTTGTGACACTTGTGGTCACGCTTCGGCCTGTTTGATACTCACGCGGATCTTTCACATGGGTCCTCGTGGCAGATGAGGCTGGTAGAAGGTGATGCTGGCAGCCACAAAAGATCATGCTTCGCAGGTGTACGCAGAACCGACTAGAAGTAGAATCGCCTTCAAGGAAATTCCGCGTGGCCTGCCGGTAGTTCGTCAGCAAACACAATCCCTGAATGCAAAAACTTCATCAGCTGAACATACGCCATGCGGACCCAGGGTCAAGAGCCTCTCGTTGAAAAGCCATCAAGATCTGCTGCAGGGGCTTAAGGCTCGAGTACAGGTCAGGTTGAATGAACCGGACACGTACAGATGCAGATCTTGACAGGAAGAAGACGCCGCAAGAGTGCACAACAACCAGAACGAGATGACCCGTCCTTCTGACCGTTAAAGACTACTGACCCTGTAGCGTCTCGAACCCAGTTGTAGGTCGGTTCGAGCCGTACGTCTTGGAGAAACTTTTTGTCTCCATATAGCACGAGTCCTAAGCCTGTAATCCAAATCAGTGAAGTCCCAAAATCGAAAAACAGTGCTCTTTCTTCCCTGCTGTCTTTCTGTGCATGTAAGTGCCGTCAGCTTTTGAAGAGAGCTATGGCAATGACGCACTAAAGTCCTTGGCCTCATTCCAAGACCGCAAGCAAGCACCGAAGCATCTCGAGTCTGTTTCACAAATCCACCCGTCCTGAACCAGGACTGATAATTAAAATCTCACGTCGTTCAGCACTTTGAACGGCTGCACGGCATTGCAGATTCAAAATCACTTTCGAGATCGCTAGCTGCACTAGCTGCTGTGCTGCTCCTGGCTTGCCCAACTGTTTCGTGTGTTCATCTGCATTCTGATGCTTTGCCTTAGATCATGTCATCAGTGGCGTACGAAGTCTGCAAAATCGCGTGGGTGCCGTCAGTGCTAGTTAGTCACGGCTGGCAGTGCCACACCAGCTTGCTCAGAAGACGCACCTCGCAGCTTTGGATTCACCCTGGACCCTCAACCTTATGTTAGCTCTTTTGGAGCAGGGGCTGCAGTCGAAACCTCGAAGCTTTGCCAGTTTCGGGGGGTGGGGGGGGGGGCTCTATACTCTCACATCGGACTCCGACTTGCAAGAACCCATCCGAAGTGCCTGTTCAAGAACCACTGAGAACATGACAGGAGATGACATGACATGACGCACAAGAGCAGAAAGACATCGTTGCCGGCGATGGCGGTTGCGAGGGTGACAATAGCAAGTCCATCGCGTTGTTGTCGATGATGATGATGATAGTGCTGATGCTGCTGGTGATGGTGATGGTGAAAATGATGTTGTTAGTGATCGTGTTCATACTGCGGAAACACACATAAACATGACAGCGACTACCGCGACGACCACGACCACAACAACAACAGCATCAGCATCAGCATCAGCATCAGCATCAGCATCAGCATCAGCATCAGCATCAGCAACAGACCATGTTTTTTTCGGGGGTGGGCTTGTGAGCCCGTGGCGGGCCCGCGGGCCCGCCCATGAAA